AGATAACATACACGTATTTGTACTCTATACATATATACGTCTATTTTTAATATATCAAATATTTAAGCTTTAAAAGTAAATCAAAAAAATAAGAATTAGACATTTTTCAGTTTTTAATTTAATTAAATAATAAAAAAGAAATTAAATAAGCATTAAATCTACTCAGATATGAAATGAAATTTTGTTTTATTTTTTTCGCATTTTCCTAATATATGATTTTATTATGTTAAAAACATTTCTTATACACAAATCCACACATACATTCACAGCTGTCAGCCCCCATATTTTAGATATATTTATATATAGTCCAAAAAGTTTTCGATCTCTTAAGTGAAAGTTAGAAAAATAAAATTAATTTACTTTAATTCATTTAAATATGTTTTTAGATCGAACATTTTTGAGACTATATATACATATATATATTATAAAATATTTGTCTTTGGCGTGCGTTATAGTTTTGTTAGTTAGATAAGTCGATTGTAGGGGCATGTACAGAATAGTAGCGTATGCGATAAGTCGATTTAAGTCAGTTTGACAGTTAATATACATATATGTATATACATATATATATATATATATATATATATATATATATATATATATATATATATATATATATTCTCTCATATGTCGGTCAAGTCAAGAACACTCTATAAAGTACATTTAAATGGACCAGGATTTGATTAAATGTATAACAAAAAATGCACTTGAGAAAGTTACTAAACGGTTGTTTAAACAATTTCGTTTTAAATCAGTTTTCTTAATATATATTTTAACACACACATACCGTGAACAAACTTATCTGATCAGCAAATAAATAAAACAAAACATATATCAAACATAAATTTAAACAATAACAATTTAGCATAGCTAAACACGGCAGCGATTGAAGAAGTTTTTCAAGGGACAGAAAGAAGCGTTTGAAATGTATTTTTTTACATATATGTGAAATGAACCTCCGGCATTAATGATGAATAACGATCGTGATGATGAATGATTAATGATGTTGATGAACGATGATTAAGTCTTAAAGAGTAACGCACATTGAAAAACATATTTAACGGCCACATCTTTTTCTACATCTTTTGCACCGCACACACAAAACACACTGCAGAAAAAAAAAAAAAACAAAAACGGAAATATTAAATAACATATTGATATATATATCTCTTAACATGAATGTATGAATCTATGTAACATAATTAAATTATAAATTATGCAACTTATTAATTAAAACTTATTGTTGTACTTTAAAGAAAAAAACAAAAAACAAACTGTTACCAAAGTAGGAGCAAATGGGGAAGTTCGATAGATAATTGTGGTAAAAATTTTTGGTGTGCGTATTTTTATGTATAATAAATATACTTGATGTATTGAAGCATTGATTATAGTAAGAGCATCAAATAAACGTGTTAATCTGTGTTTTAGCCAAGTAAGCAAAAAAAATGCCGATATAAACAAAACAAAGCAAAACAAATTGCAAACAAAACAGCAACATATATTTATAGTATATATATATATATCGAAATACAAATTGTATGTACCCAAAACAAACATAAGCATGTAATCTGAATTTAAAATTTTCAAAAAGCGTAATAAATGCAAAATGTAGATGAACACAAATTTATCAATATTCAAATATAAACGGACATTTGAAATTATTGCTCGCTTTGTAGCAATCAGCTTTTAGTCGACTGCGACATAGTAGCGTGTGTACCCATATCAGTGAGTAAGTTGGCGACATTGCATTTAAAACAGGTTGGCATCTCTTCGAATTCTGCCGAGTAATGCAAAAGCGTCGCAGCAGCAGCTGCAAGGAAATTCAATAAATTTTCATTAAAACTTGTTAAAAATAAAACATAATCTTTGTTGAAAATTATGGAAGAACTACGCAAGCATTTATCCAAGGTAAACGTGCCGTGCGGCAATCCACCAATTTACAAAGACGAATGCGTCTTCTCCTACGACAACCCGGAGACGCCGACGGGCCTCTACGTTTGCCTGCAAAGTTTCCTCGGCTTTGGGGAGGCGTACGTGAAGGATTATGCCGCTAAAACCGGAAATGTTGTGTTTTTGCACATTAAACGCGAGCGAAAACTAAAGGCCGGCGAGTCCAATGAGAAGACGCAGTTGGAGGAAGCGGAAGCCGGGCCGGAGCGAAAAATTACGCGCCTTGCCATTGGCGTTGAGGGCGGCTACAATGAGACTGATTTGGCTAAGAAGTACGAGATTAAGGACACGTACAGCATTGTGGTGGCACCCCAACTGGACAAGAAGCTGCCCTATCCAGATGCCGAGCTGCCCATGCGTGTCACCCAAGCGGTGGAGGCAATCATAGAAGCCGATTCAGCTATAGCAAAGCTCGAGAAGGCCACACTCACAGGTGAGCGAATGCATTAATCATCAACTAAAACATATGCTGAGACATCTGGAACAAATATTCAACTATTTTATATTTGCATCGTCGCAAATATTTGCTCATACTGACTCAACTATGATTGAGCGAGACGGCCGCTCAACTTACTCGCTTCCACTCCATGCTCTTTGCATTTGATTACTCTATATTGCTCTAGCTGCTAGGCAATATGATCGCGTCGCTCTTATTCGCTCACACTGCATGCAGTATAGCATTTGCTTACTCTCAATTGCTCTCTGGAATGGAAGTGCATATGTGTCTGTGCAAAAGTCTTTCCTTTAGAGTGAGCTCAAATAAATTTTTGCCTTTTTAGTGTCGAATTGACTAGCTAAGCGTGTGGACGCACAGTTATTCATGTCCACATGACCAAATGTTTGATATGTCTGCTAGTCGGGCGCTACCGATTATATGGCAGTGAGTAGTCTTTAGACTAACTTCAATATCGTTGCAGGCACGTGGGATGGTGAGGTGCGCCAGCCCTCGAAGTATGCTGAGAATCTGCAACAGCTGGACAATGGAAAGAAAATACCGCCAGCTGGCTGGCAGTGCGAGAAATGCGACCTGACCAGCAATTTGTGGCTGAATCTAACAGATGGCTCCATCTTGTGTGGACGGAAGTTCTTTGATGGCAGTGGAGGCAACGATCATGCTGTGGAGCATTATCGAGAGACGGGTTATCCACTGGCCGTTAAGCTGGGCACCATTTCAGCCGATGGCAAATCGGATGTATTCTCCTATCCGGAGGATGACATGGTCGTGGATCCGCATTTGAGCAAGCATTTAACACACTTTGGCATCAACATGGCCGCCATGCAGAAGTGTGAGAAGTCCATGGTCGAGCTGGAGCTGGAGATTAATCAGCGCATTGGCGAATGGTCTGCGTTGACAGAGAGCGAGAGCGAGCTGCAACCGCTGGCTGGACCCGGGTATACGGGCATGCGAAATTTGGGCAACTCCTGCTATATAAACAGCGTGATGCAGGTGCTCTTTGTCATACCCGATTTCCAAAAGCGTTTCGTTGGCAGCGGCGCCGACCATTACTTCAAGGACTATCCCAGTGATCCGGCTAATGATTTCAATATACAGATGGCCAAACTGGGCAATGGATTGCAGTCCGGAAAGTACAGTAGCTTGGTAGCCAATACACTGGACATGGAGCACATGACGGGCATCTCGCCGGCCATGTTCAAGAATATTGTAGGCAAGAATCATCCAGAGTTCAGCACCAAACAGCAGCAGGACGCCAATGACTTCTATTTGCATCTGTTAACGCTGCTCGATCGCAACTCGCGCAATCAATGCAATCCGGCGGATGCTCTCAAATTCCAGCTGGAGGATCGTGTCGAGTGTATGACCAGTCACAAGGTCAAGTATAAGACCCGTGAGGAGTACAGCTTCCGACTGCCAATACCCCTCGAGCAGGCCACCAATCTGGATGAAGTGCGCGAATATCTGGAGCGAGAGCAGGCAGCACGCGCCAGCGGGCAACGGCTCCCAGACCGTGAGTTGGTGCGGCACAAGGTGCCGCTACAGGCTTGTCTGGAACGCTTCTTTGGCACCGAGTTCATCGAACAATTCTATTCGACGGCCATTAATTCTAAGACGACGGCCAAGAAGACCACACGCATGGCCAGCATGCCCGATTTCTTGATGATTCATCTAGGCAAATTTACGCTGGGCGATGATTGGGTGCCCAAGAAGCTGGATGTCTCTGTGGATATGCCGGATGAGCTGGACCTAGGTGTCTGGCGTTCAAGAGGACTTCAGCCAGGAGAGGAATTGCTGCCAGAACCGGCTCCACAGTCGACGGCGTTCGTTTTTGATGAGCTTGTGATGTCGGAGTTGGTCAACATGGGCTTCCCACAGGAGGCATGCAAACGCGCCTGTTTCCATACTCAAAATATCGGACTGGAGGCAGCTTCCAATTGGCTAATGGAACACATTGCCGATGCGGATATCTCTGATCCCTTTGAAGTGCCAAATAATCGCATTGGCGATGGTGCCGCCTCCACGTTCGTTGCCAATCCCGAATCGTTGGCCATGCTGATGAGCATGGGCTTTGGCGAGCGACAAGCGACGGCCGCCCTTAAAGCCACCGATGGCAACGTGGAACGAGCCACCGACTGGATCTTCTCACATGCCGAGGCCGGCATCGATGATGTCCCAGTGCCTGCCCCACCCTGCTCCACAGCCACTGCTGCAGCGGGGAGCAATTATCGCGATGGCACAGGCAAATATAAGTTGGTGGCGTTCATCTCTCACATGGGCACCTCGGCCCAGGTGGGTCACTACGTCTGCCACATACGCAAACAGGGCGAGTGGGTGATCTTCAATGACACCAAGGTGGCCAAATCACAGAATCCACCCAAGGATCTGGGCTATCTGTATTTGTATATGCGCGATGAGTAGAGCAGTGGATGAATATGAGAAGATGATCTCCCCCAAGCAGCAATTCTTAGGATTTGTATGAATTATATAAAATATAAATATATATATTAATGAAACATGAAATAAAGGCAAAGCGTTTGCAACAGCGACAACCAGAGGACCGTCGGCAGGATTCTGCCCTTCTCCACTTATCCAACTAATCTGCTTTGCTTCTCCTCAGCTCCCCAGTTCACTTCAATTAGACACCTCCTCAAATGCTGCTTTTGCACATTTATTCACTCGTTTTTCTTGTTGTTCAGCAACTCCTGGACAATCTCATTGAGACGGTCCGCAAATGCCTCGAAGGAAAACTTCTGCTGCACTCGCTTGTGACCCAGTTCGCCCATCTTCAAGCGCAAGGCCTCATCCTTGAACAGCTGATGCATGGCGCCGCCAAAGCTCTTCTCCTGCTTTTCACAGAGAAATCCAGTGGAAGAGTGCACAACCGTTTCCGTGGGTCCACCACTGTTCAGCGCTACTACTGGCTTGCAGAAATACATGCCCTCCAGCGGCACAATCCCAAAGTGCTCGTTCTCCGGCGTGTAGAGCAGACAGTGCGCGGCATACAACAGATTGCATTTTTCCTCGTCTGTGGGCGAACGCAACAGCACTACATGATCTTCTAAATGCAACTCTGCTATCAGTTGTTCCAGCTCTGCGAAATGCTCTACATTCTCTGTGCAACGGGTATCATAGCCACCCGCAATGATCAAGCGACATCTCTTGAAGTCCGGTGAGGGCAACAAGTCCCGGAGCAGGCCCAGGGAATGCAAGGCCAGTGCATGGTTTTTCTTGCGTTCGTAGCGATTGATGTCCAGGTAGATGAACGAATTGCGTGGCACACGCGGATGCACTGGCTCATCCAACAATGCTGAACGCTGCTCAAGCTTTCGCTCCATTTGATCAAAATATTGGGTATGCAAGGAAGGATAGAGTACGTCGGGTACGACCCGTAGCCGTCGGAATGTGTCCTGGAAGACCCGCAATGTGAACTTGGAGTTCACTAATACCTTATCCGCCTGTCCAATGGTCTGCTCCTCCAGCCAATTAAGGGGCGTCCGATATAAACGCTTTAGTAGGCCAGCTTGACTGCTCAGCAACTGATCAGGATAATGGCAATAGAAAAGGACACGTGGACGATGGCTAGCCAGTCTCAATATTGGCACACACACGGAAATCAAATCACAGACAATCACATCAACTTGGCTACGCTCGGGCATAAAGAAGCTGGCATAGAACGCCGCATAGATCATTCGAACATAAGCACAAATTGCATAGAAACGCCCAAAGAGCTTGCGTGGCAGCCAATCGCCGACAGTCTGTACGGGAAAGCTGCCGTCAGCTGTTTCCTTAAAGCAGTGCGTGCTATCGTGATGATTAGTCAGAAAGCTGACCTCGTGGCCACGTTCCTTCAACGCTAAGGCGGCGTCCACGACGAGACGTTCGGCGCCTCCTATTCCCAAATCTGGATGCAAAAACAAAACTCGCACCATTGTGTTGCTGCAAGTAAGCATATAAATAAATTAATTCTACTTTGATTGTACATATTCGCTATTTAACATACCTAGGTGTCAGGCAAGTTGCATTATTATTAGAAACAAAAACAAACAAAATAAACTTAAGTTGTGTATTGTATCTTAGTATATTCAACAACTATCGATAAGTTGTCTGATAATACTTTGCGTTGCACTGGCAACCCTCGAATTGCATTCTATTTAAAAACAAACAAAGCAGCACTCCGTCAGTTCTTATCGATAAGTTTCTTGTCTGACTATCGATACTGATTCTCGAAGGCAATCCTAGAATAAGCAGTTCCAAACGCGTTTTGCCATTATTTAGCGGTAACAAAGAAGCTGTGCTCGCATTTCGGCCCGTGTTTGCAAACGAACGCATTAAATTTTCTGTAAAAATCCAATTATTTTTATACAATTCTAATTAACAGTGCTGTCGCCCCGTAAAGGCGTTGTCAGCGGTGCGTCGGTACAAATTCATACATACATACATAAGCAAACACTTACATTGAGAGACGTTTCATCCATTGGGATGATGCAGCCGCCAATTAAATTGCCAACAAGCGCAGGCATCGAAATCGACAACGAGCGCGCCTCCTTGTTATTGCTTAATAAATAGAATATTTAAAAGTATTAAAGTTTTTAACATAATATAAGCTACAAGTGTAATGTGTGCTAGTTACTGTGACACCCCATAAGAAAAACAAAAAAAAAACCCAACAACCCGCCTCGGCTCCTTTCAGCAGCGGCTACGATTAGCCCAACCGTAACCAAAACACAATTCCTAAAACATATATACAGTCCTACATACAAATACCCATATATCAAACAGTTATTTGCTGGGCCACGTATCTAGCAAATTTAACGAGATGCCCAAAATCTATGTAAAGAAGCCTTTGGCGGGCCTCGTCATACGCAATCGAGCGCACAAGAGCAGCATATTTACCGTAAGTAACAATTACAAACATGCATATGTGAGTAAGCATATAGTCTAGTGCTACATATATATATATATATATATATATATATATATATATATATGCATATAGTCTAGTACTAAATATATATATATATATATGAGTGTATATATGTGTTACTACGTAAGTACACTGAGCCCCCCTTATAAACACCTGTGCAACTGATATAATAGCTACAGTAATACAGTAAATCGTATGGCAACCGATGGTTAGATCAGCTGTGCTATTGAACTGTTATAACTGTCATATGGGCTATTCATTCAGTGAAAATAAAATAAAAATAATTATTTTTAATTAAATATACATTTTAGTGGATATATATGGAATACTGAAAAATTAGTTATGGTAAAAGACTAAGATATTAAAATAAGCTTATGATGTAATTTGTACCACCTTATATAAATCATATGTATGCCTTATAAAAGCTCATTGAGTTAAGTTAAAGTATATAACCAGATTGTGAATTTTGACCTGATTTAAATTTCCTTATCATTCTTTCATAATCCGAAATTCTGGAAAGCCCAAATAAATGATTATGATTTGATTATAACTCAAGCATACATTTCACCATCTTAAATTACTTTATAATATATCTTTGAATAGTTCTCGAACCACTTATTTCATATTTACTGTAAGCAATTTGAAGAACGCCAACAGGCAAATTGTTATCAGGCGCGGGCACTCACGCTTTATTTTCGACATGAATCACGCCTCGTGTGCCGTACGCTTAGTCCGTATTAGAGAAAATTATCAAACGACTTTAAATGCTTCAATTGCTTATTTCAATAATTGTGATTGCATCCAATTTTAGTGAATTTCTTTTGGGGTTTTTCCCTTATCAACACGCGATATTATCTACAAATCTGTATGGCCCTAATCGGAAAGTCAAATAAAAAGAACAGATAGAAAGTGCGACGCATGTCATAACATTTATAGATATAGCGGTAATCAATGTCTGAACTTGTTAACTATAAAGTACAGCTATAAATATAAATATAAATATATACCTAATGAATTTTAAATTAAAATTGCATATCTAAAATGTTTTAAAAGCTTTTATATTAGCTGATAAGAAAATGTTTCCTTGGAGTTATTCATTAGTCATCAACACGCTGCTTCGCTGACATCAGCCAAAGTTGCGTGCTACAATTTATAATAATTACAGTGAATGTTTAACAATTAACATTTTTTAAATATAAATTTATAGCTAAAAATATTATTTCCACATAATGTATATTCTATATGTGTTATATTTGATTTTTTTTAATATTTATTCAAAGATTTACATCACTTCCCAAACATAAATACTAACATATGCGAGCGTGCACTGTATATAAGTGCACTGTTATGCGAGAACAGTTAGTTTCCATTGCAAGCACAGTCATATGTTTGCCAGCACTTGACTGGCTGGAGAGAGCGAAAACGAAAGAGAGAGAGAGAGAGAGAGAGAAGAGCGCAAGATCTTAAACATTTGTGTGTCAAATTTCATAATCAATTCAACGTTGACCTCTTCCAGCAACCACTTGTTTAATGGGTGGGAGCGAGACCAGCGCAACTGTCGCTCGTGTTCGGCTTTCGCTTTCGTCAAAAAGCTGTTCTGCGTGTCTTTTGTTTTTGGTTCAGTTTCTGGTTCTGCTTTTGCTTGTTTCGTTTTCGTGGTCTTATTTTGTATGCTCCATATTAGCTCATTAAGATGTGAAAAGCTATAAGTGGAATGGGTTTGTTCTTCTTTTATTTTATTTCTTGAGAGTGCATTGAACTTTTAACAGCTTGTCACAATGGACACGTCTAATGAGGCAGCGCTGCTAAATCAGCACGTATGTAGATATTTATGTACATAGATGTTATATACATCTAACATAAATATTTTTGTTGTGCGTGCGCGTGTAAATATTACATTAATCACGGTTTTTCCCAGCACAGTTGCTCAAGGGCCAACTCCAGCGTGTAATTACAGCTACACACAAAATGTGGAACGACACTCGCCGGAACGGGCCCAACTTTATTTTAACTCAACTTCTTCCTCTTCCACTCCCTGTTGCGCCAACCCGTTTTCTTCCCCATCACCTATGCATATTTAATTCTGCTGTGTCAACTGCGACGTCTAATTTCAAGAAAATTAGCCGCTTACTCTACACACAGTTAAAAGGCAGCCAGCTTGCCGCCATGTTCATACGCACACTGTGCAACAAAATCAGGTGGGCAGATTAGTTATTTATATTTCTTGATAGAAATCAAGATATGATAACCAGCTGTAAAGTCAAGCTAATGTACATATATATTTATTTATGTATAGCTTGTTATTGTTTAGTTAAGGCATGTAGCACAGTGTAATGAGCACTGAGCACTAATACTAATAACTATTGTTGCTCGCAGCTAATTAAGTTAATGGCTTTTACATAGTAATTTCAGTAGCCTTGAACTTATTTAAGGATTTTTAGTGGGAATTAGACTTCTTTTAATCATTAAAGACCAAGAATGTTATGGAAAAGTAGAACAACTAACAAAAGCGAATAATAAATCGCATTTCTCAGAATAAGTTCAATTAAAAAATATACAAATATACAGGGTAGCTTCTGAGTCGTCCAAATTCTGGAGAGCAATCATTGAACTCATTCACAATGAGTCAAAAATGATTCCTTTTTTGGTGCATTTTTGTGGCGCAAAGCTTTCATTCATAAAATGAGCGCGCAGAATCTACAAAGAAAGCGAAATGAAAAGGCGTGCGGCATTTGTTGCAGCTTTTTTCTTCGCCTTCAGCTGCCAAGCGGATGCCTGTAAAGAGAGTCGAAAGCTTTTTTAAATACACTCACGCTCTCTCTTGCTTTTTTTGTTTCTCTTCTGCGGCGGGTGCGCGTGTACGAGTTGTGCACCCACAAGCGACATGCAACAGAAGCTGCAACAACAACAAACAAATGTGCAAACAAACGAGGGAATTAGTAAACACGGAATGGGAATTATTATGGGAAATTCAATGCAGACGCGAAAGCAGGTTTATGGAGCAAGTGTGTGCGAGAGAAAGAGCAAAGAGACAGAAAGAGAGAGAGGGACGAAAGTGAAATAATCGAAGCTGAGCTTTAATGTGTGGGAGTTGGGATATGTTTCTGTGTGTGTGCGTGTGTAAGTGAAAGTCAATTGGCGCCGGGAAATTGTTGAATTAAATAAACAATACTTAATAATTTATAACGGTTTAGCTGAAATGCTCATAAATTAGTTTTTTTGTTTTCTTATTTATTTTGGACTTGTTTGTGCCTTGATTTTTCCCTCATTTCCAGCTAGTCGAAATAATTATACATGAAAAGCTCTGCGCGCCCCAAAAGCTTTTAGTTCGCACGCGAAAAATTGCATACAAGAATGGGAAAAAATTAAGCTGGCGACGCTTTTCCAGCTGAGTACAACGCAGCATGTGGAAAAGCGCACAACTAGCTCGGAAAACCTTCTCGCGTCTTTTTGTTATTATTATCATCAACCTCGCCATCGCCTTTGTTTAACAAAAATATATTTCGTTTACCCTTTGATTTGGTTTTCTTTTGTTGAATTCAGTTTTCCGCGCGTGTGTAAAATTGAAAAGAACGCGGCGGAAAAGCAAACAATAAAGTTTATCAACAATTAAATTTTGAATAAATCAACAAATAATATTTATATCAATAATTTAATCAGAAATATGTTACAATTGTAACTAAATGTGTGTGCGTGTGTGTGTGTGAGTGTGTTGGCTGTAAGTTAAAACAGAAAAATTGAAAACGAAAAACTGTGGAAAAATCTAAACTTTAAATGCTGCCACGCATCTTTGTTGTTGTTGTTGTTGCTGTTGCTGCTGCTGCGTTACGCAAAATATATTGTAACTGTACTTAAGTGCAGCCCACGTACTTGTTGTGGCATGTGGCATGTGCCCCTCGTGCCTTGTTGTTCTTCTGCTCTTTGTTGTTGCTGATGTCTGGCTTTCAGCGCTATTTTTCGTGTCTGTCTTAAGGCACGACCGAATGTCGCCATATACCCAACGCACACGCATTTGCCTTTCGTGTTGTTTTTCCTTGAAGAAGGTCACTCAAACTTGTCTCTGCCGCCCACCCAAGCATGCCTCTACAGCTCCACGCTGCGTCCTTTCTCCACTTTCACTGCCTTGACCAGCATTTGCTGCTTAAGAGTATTGTTTTTACATTCCTCCTTAGCTGATTTCTTCTTTGCAACAAGCAGATGTACATTAAA